TAAGCCTTGCATTTTGTTATTATTAAAAAAAAAATACAAATTGATGTGTTGAAAACGTTAATGATCAGCACAGGGGCCACAAATTTCTTAAAACGGCTCTGTTAACAACACACTGAGGGTATGGAAGACATTGTTGCTGAATTAAAATTTGAAAGATTTGTCTGTCGGCTCTAAAGTTTGACAGAAAGAAAAAGAACTAAATTAAACTATATACAAGAATAGTTACTATAAGCATGCAGGCAAGAAAGCATGCATCCGAGAAACACAAACCCGTTCAACAAACTATATGGACAATAGGTACAGTAAGTAGCAGCAAGAAAGCAGAGAAAAGAATATTAAATAAGTCTTTCACAGTGTCAATCAAAACTAAACTTTGTGCATCAACTTGTCAGTGACAGTAATAGCTAATTGAGAAAGGGTCTTTCGGAAAAAAACTAAAATGTAATAATGTCGATGATAGGACGGCATCAAACGTTATTGATTTCGTTTTACCTATTTGATATGGTCCAATCGGAGTGATTCCGGTATTTTTACGTGATCCTTTAAAAGAAATATAACAGTACATTTTATTTGAATACTTGACTTCGTTTTGTTTCATCTAAGCAGTGACTCACTCCCACGTCTATGTAGAAGACCTAAAAGCTACAAAACTCGCTCCAATGCAAAAAAACTATAAGCAAAGCAAAATAACCAGCTGCAGCCTGCCGTTCAAAATCAGGACGAATTGTCATGAGATTCAATTGTGTAATGAGAGAAGTACAATGTTTTTAAGCTTGCCGTCGTTCAATTTCTGCAACCAATCGTCTAATCCATTCTGGTACCAATAGACTTCGTTTAGCAATGAAATAACGTGACTGGTTTCTAGCTTCTTTACAAACAACATAATTATGATTAAGTTGTTTGACAACATAGTACAGGGGAGCTGTTGAGAGAAAATTTTTGTTGTTGTTGTAGTGGTATATCGGCGAGTGTTGCTGGTGCCGATAATAGAACGGTAGAACGCTCTCGTTATAGTAATTAGATGAGAAAAAGGGAGCAGGATTGGTCAACGATCTAACAACTTCTGTTGCGTAAGGAGACGACTGATAGTAGTGGAAGTCCTCCTCGTAATAGTAATGAGGCTCAGGAGTGGTCTTCAGTTTTGGCGAATGGTTTAAAATGACCGAGATATTTATTATTGGAGGTGGACGTGTCGTTACAGCTGGTTCTTCTTGCTCTAATTCTTCAAATGGGGTCTCATCACCAGTACCTCGTGGATCATTATCTGTTGCTTCATCATAACTGAGACCGCCACCACCAAAAATACCTGAATCAGCTTCATAGGAACCACAGAATTGATCCATTGAGGGAGTTTTACGTAGAGACATTTTTGTGAAGTAGAATTAAAATGTTTTTGTTATGTTCACGGTATTTTAGCTTTTACGTTTAGGACTAGTTATTCTATTTTTATGTTTTTGTCACCTTATCCGTATAGAGTTAATAATGTAATTTCACAATAGAAGAGAACGCAAAGAAGAGTCTGAAGCAGGCCAGAAAAAGAATGTATAAAAGTACATATTAGAGCAGAGAACAGAAAGGAATATTTCTCTTCTGCTTAGTCTCTAAGTAAATGTTATAGATATAAAAAGAAAAATAATTATATATGAA